CTTTTGGTATGACCCGGCTGCTGTTCACGAAACCATCCCTGTGACCTCTAGAATCCGAACATCTTTGTCCCTACTTTTCGCATCCTAAGAGTGCTTATTAGAAACCGAATGGGAAAGTCGAAGCAGAGTTAGCCCTGGATTTGATAACCTCCTCGTGTGGGCTGGGCTCCTTGACAGCTAGTTCCTCTTCAATTTAGTTTGACCAGTGCTCACTGGTAGTTTTTTGGCGAGACAAAGCAAGCACCTGGTCGTACTGCCGTCGGCCCCCCGTGGGGATAGACCAGAACCAGAACAGCAGGTGGCACTGGCAAAGGAAAGGAGGAGAGAAAGATCTGCATGAAAAGGAAATTTGGCATTTGGAAGACGCTGTGAGCAAGGATCTGAGGGGGCGTGATGTAGTGTAGGGTGACTCATCTTATATTTCTAGGTACAAAAGTGGATTGAGGCGGGTAGAAGAAAACTGACAGGGGAGGAGAATTGGTAGGATGAAGAAGGTTGCCTTTCAGGCGGTGGAGTGGAACATTGGGGAATGAGGAGAGAGTCTTGGGGTCTTTATGGGGTGTGGACTGAGATCATAATACCAGTTGTCATCATTGACCAGTTGAGTTTATACTACAGAGTGGTTAGATTTTTTAACACACCTGGTATCTCGAGATAGTCACAGATGTTGGATGGTATTTTAAAACCTTTGGTCACCAATAGAACAGATTTTTCTCTGTTTTCCTTTAAAAAATCTGTTCTTAAGCTATTTTCAAAGTGTAGGCAGCATTATAAAAGACCTCCTTAAAATGTTTTTAATTGTAAAATATATGGAAAATTGCCCAAATCATGTGTCGGGTTGAAAAGAAACACATGCAGGTACCTACCACCTGGATCAAGAAATAGAACACTACTGGCATCCCATAAGCGTCCCTGTGACTCCATCATCAAGATTTCGTAAAGTTTTGCCTGTTTTTTTCAACTTTTTTTTTTGAAACATTTTTAATCTACCAAGAAGTTGAAAGAATAATATTGTGAACACCTGTGTACCTCTTTCATATATTAACTTTTAAACATTTTTATCACATTTATCTTTTCTTTATATTTTCTTCCTTTATTTTTTGCTGAACCATTTGAAAATAAGTTCCAGATATCATGACACTATACCTCTAAGTACTTCACCATGAATCTACTAAAAATCCAAGGGCTTCTTTTAATGCATTGATATTCTTTTTGGTGGAATCGCAACATTTTCCAAAATTAAAGTGTGATATTACTTACATAAACACACACACATTGTCCAACATTTTCTTGTGTTAAAATGATTAAGCAGGTCTACGGCCATGTTACCCTGAACAAGCCCGATCACGTCTGATCTCAGAAGCTAAGCAGGGTCGGGCCTGGTTAGTACTTGGATGGGAGACCACCTAGGAAGACCAGGTGCTATAGGTGTAAAAAATAAAAAAAATAAGAGATTGTAAGCTGACAAAGTCCTTGCAATCTGTGAGGTCAACCAAGGGTTGCCTCGCTTAAAAAAATGATTAAGCAGATAAGCTTATTCCTAGTTGACTGAAAATATTAAACTTCCTCTCACTTTAAGAAAACATTGTATGAAGACAAGCACTAGTATAGTATATATAGTGATAATGAAACATGCAACAGTGTTTTAGTACTCTCATATAAGCTTTTTAGTCTTAGTGGTTTTTACAGGAAGATCTTGACCACAAGTAATCTGTTTTCAATTATTTCTCGTATCACAGTATGAGTATTAGGTAACTGTGCTATTTTGCATTAATTCTCTTTTCTCATTTCGGGTCTTTTTTAGGGCTCAGTAAAGAGACAAGCACTATATGCCTGTAGTACCTGCACCCCAGAAGGAGAAGAACAAGCAGGAATTTGCCTCGCTTGCAGTTATGAATGTCATGGAAGTCACAAACTGTTTGAGCTATACACAAAAAGGTAAAGACAGTTAGAGATTGGTGTTGAATACTTTGTAAATGTTTAGAATCTTTCCCAGCTGTACTTTTTTCTCAATCTTGCTGTTCATTCAAAGTAGCTGTGCATTGGGAAAATTTATTATAATTGTTTTATATAATTTGAGACAATAGTTTTTCCCAAGGGCCTTTTAAAACATGATACAAACTCAAACAACTCATCCTTCTCTGCCATTAATTTACTTGTGTCTGTGGGAGTGATACAGATATTTGTCTCTGCAAGTTAATTTCCAGAATTATCAAATCTTTTATTGTTATGTGCCTGGAGAAATTCCGACTTGGATTCATGAGCAGCAACCAAGAAATGAGTTGAAAGGGAATAGGCTATATGAACTTGAAGAAGTCATTAGATTTTTTTTTAAATGTTATTATTTTATTATTATTTATGCCTACAACACCTGGTCTTCCTAGGTGGTCTCCTGTCCAAGTACTAACCAGGCCCGACCCTGCTTAGCTTCCGAGATCAGACATCGGGCTTGTTCAGGGTGGCATGGCCGTAGACCATAGACCATGGCTCCACTGGAGCATGAACCCAGGACCGTCTGTGTGTAAAGCAGATGTGCTAACCGCTACACTATTGAACCACGTCCAAGAAGTCATTAGATTTAAAAGAAAAGTTAAAATTGGCTCTTCCTTCTTTGTTTCAGAAATTTTCGTTGTGATTGTGGAAACAGCAAGTTTAAAAATTTGGAATGCAAATTATTTCCTGTAAGTAAGCACTGTAACTATAAAGGCATTGGAAGTAGCTGAGATGATATTTGACAGAGTTGATAAAAGCCAAATATTTTCCAAAAAGGTAGTTCTTATGCTTATTCTTTGCAAATTGGCAAATCAACGTTAGAGTCCATTTTTCACTCTGTTCGAAAACTAAGTAACCTGTTCAGAGTCTACAGTATAGATGGTAATAAATATGAAAAGTTTTGGGGGAATGTTCTTTGAAGAGATTTAGGTTTAATTATGTTGGTTGTGCTCATGCTCTAAGGCTTTTAAAAGTGAATAAATAAAACTTGGTAATAATGTGGGCTAGGTGCACACAGGAGTTTTTCGCTGCTCTTTGCCTATGTTTATACAGTAACTTAGTGAAATACCAAATGAAGAGAAAGTAAGAGATTTTATATTCTATCATTGCTTAAACTGTCTTGCTTTTCTCTTTTTTGAAGGGTATTTTTGACAACTTTCTTGACTGCTTTTTATTTTTACCTCTTGCTAACCTGGGGGCTTTGGCTATTACAGCTAGGCATCAAGAAGTACTTTGAAATTCCAGGCTAATATCAGTTAATTTATATTTAATACTCATGATTAACTTTTATTACTATTTTATTACATGGGTGTGTTCGGTTTCCCCCAGTTGCTACAAAAAAGATACAAAAAATAATTTTTATTTTTTCCCTGTATCTTGGGGAAAATGTCCCTTTAATAGTAGTGAATTCTTTTCCTTTGTATTTTGAAAGTTAAAGACCAGCTTCTGTGGGGGAAGATATTTACTGCAAAAATTTATTGAATGCAGAAATTTCATAATGCATGAAATTATATAATTTCATAATGCATGAAATTATAGTTTAAGTTAGAACATATTATATATATTGAAATTATAGTTTAAGTTAGAACATATTATATATATTGAAATTACTATCTTTCAGGACAAAGCAAAGATAAATTCGGGCAATAAATACAATGACAACTTTTTTGGATTGTACTGCATTTGCAAGAGACCTTATCCTGATCCTGAAGATGAGGTAAAAGACTTGGAGGTTAACACATGGGACTGTGTCATCTCTAGCCTTCACTACGCAGTCTCTTGTCATATTTGGGCCTCTGTAGTTGTTCGCTGGGGGTTTGGAGATTGTGAAACGATCCCTGCTGATGAATCTGGGCTGTAACTATAACTGGTACAGGTCTCAGCTATTCTTCTCATTCTTGCCTAATGATAATAAAATATTGAATAGGACTTTCTCAAGGCCAGGACCTTACCCCTTCCGCTCCCTCAATGCCTGCCTGCTTCACTCCCCGACTTTCCAAAAATGCCCTTCAATTTTTTGCCTCCCTGGAAGGAAAGAAATGGGAGATACAAATTGGATCCTCTTTAAAATTTCAATTAGAAATATACAAAAAATTTTAAAGAGTTCTTCCTCACTCCCAGACATAACCACTGTTCACACTTTTTGGTGTATATATTTTTAGACCTTTTTCTATGCAAATGTGAGTGAATATTTTTCAGTTCGTAGTTTTCTTTTCTTGTAACAAGTGAAAATTCTATACATTCACTTCTGCAATTTACTTTTCTCACTTACTAGTTTATCTTAGATATCTTCCATGTCATACAATACAAATTGACCTCATTTTAGTTGCAGCAGAGTATTCCATAATTTGACATGCCATAAGTCAGTTACCTAATTGTTCTTCTATAGAAGAATGGCATTGTCTATTTTTTAAGTATTATGAAGACAACTGCAGTGGACATCTTTATACAGTCATATAACTGAGTAAACTCTTGCAAGGAGTTATGTAGAATGGATACCTAGAGTTAAAATTGATGTGTCAGAGGATATTTGTATTTAAAATGGTGATCATGTTTACAAAAAGGGTTGGACCACCAACAGTACGTAATACCGTTTTTTTCCCAACATTCTCATTGTCTCTACCTATTAAACAGTCTTAAAATTTTGCCATTCTGATGGATAAAGAACAGTATCTTTTAAAAATTTTACTTTCCTTAATCATAGGTAAGGTTATGCGTTTTCGTGAGTTTATTGTACATATTAATAACCTATTGGAATTGTTCTTTCACATCTTTGGCCCATATCATGATTGAGTCTGGTTTTGCTTATGTGTTTACTGATTTGAAGGAATCTTTGTATTTAGAGAAATTAGCCTTCTGCCGTCTTCTTGCTTTCTGTTATCTTGGAACTGTAATTATTGAACCAAATTATTTAGAGGAAAAAATTGAAGATATCTTTGAGTTAACAAAGATAAAACCTTACAACGGGATATTTTAAGGTATGGAGTAAAGTGTTACAACACTGTTGAATCAAAAGAAAAATAAGATGACTAAGTTGATCAAGGCAAAAGAAAGAATAAAACAGCCATATACAAATATAGATAGATATGTTTTTGTTTCCTTTAAGACACCATAATAGGGAAGCAGATTAAACATTGGAATGTTAATCAGCTGATATGAAAGTCCGTGAATAAAAGGAAAATCATTCTAAAAACAGTCTGCGCCCTTTGGTATATAATTTTCCTAGGTCAGAATTTAATTATTTAATTTATTCAAATTAGGAGAGTTGTTGCTGTTTGTTTTATCAAGAGATTGTAACATTTACTTTTTAGTTACTTGGCGGCATGTCGTGGTAAAAAGCTGCAGTTGTCACATTCTGTATTGGTCAATTTGTATTACCTCCCTGGGCCTGGGTTCATGTATACGTGAGAATACATGACTGACTTACAAAATTTTATGAGAATCAGATATTAACTAATGTGAAAGAACTTTGACAGTCGCTTGCAAAGCGCTTATCTCTGTAGCACCAGTTCGTGGAGAACGAGCTTCTCTTTGGCTCCTTGATCTTTCCTTTTTCCCTTGGATATGCCCATGAGTAGCAGCCTCACAGATTTGGTAGAGAATTATTAATATAATTCCACCGTGTGCCAGATTTACTTCCATGTCCCAGAATTCACTGTCATCATTAACACGCAAACTGCTTTTCCATGTTAGATTCCAGATGAGATGATCCAGTGTGTAGTCTGTGAAGACTGGTTCCACGGAAGGGTAAGGAAAGCTTTGACCTTTTAAAGCCACTGTCTTCACAAAGGGAGAAAAAAATCTTTGCTTTGAATTGTGTTATATTTTACATCATAATTACTATTCTAGACATGTACTGTAAAGATATGATCAGTGTACTCTTATGATATTTGTTTATAAAATAACAAGCATTTTGGACAACTTGGAGATCACAAGGAAAATAGTCAGTTTTCTGTATTCACAGCATCTTGGTGCTATTCCCCCTGAGAGTGGGGATTTCCAAGAGATGGTGTGCCAGGCTTGTATGAAACGCTGCTCTTTCTTGTGGGCTTATGCTGCGCAGCTGGCAGGTAGGTGTCTCTGTGGAGCTGGTGTGCCACAAACTTGTGCTAGTGAAATTTTTATACTAAGAAATTGACCCAAAACAACTAATCAGCAATGAATGGTCTTGAGGCATTAAATATTCTGTATTTTTTTATAATACTGTATGTGTTACTGAATTTTTAAAGTGGCGGTTACTTATAGCACCTGCTGCTCTGGCCTCATAATTTATTGCCCTTCTAACCTTCAGGGAACAATTCACCATACTAACCACAAGCAGCATAGCCACACCTGAGATCTCATCCTACACTTTCGATTTGTCTCAGAGTTCTTAAATTTGGTGCTCCCTCTTTCTATCCATACCCTTCCCATTTCTAGCTCTCACTTTCCACTGGATGTGTGTATATTTCTTATTCACTGAGTTTTCTTAATTGACCTTCCCCACTCCCTCCCTTTCCTTCCCTGTCAGCACATGGCTTCATCTATCAAATTGAAATGCCGCCATGCACCGTTAGCTCCCTTATCCTTTCTCTTCTCTCCTTCATAGAGGCAGTGTTTCTGCCTCTATTCCCAAAGTAAAGCTGGTGGGCTTTTCAAAACTACCCTGCTACCTGTATTCGCAGTTAAATATCTTCCTACTGCCTCTTGCTTCTTGAGGTATCCCATCTCTCTTTGAGTCTATAGTGTTTTCCTTTCTCCTTTACATATAAAGTGCTTAAGTAGTGCCATTTTTAAACAAACTTCAATTTGAACTCTTTGGATCAGGCAGGCATAACCTAAAAAAGGACCGATATTTTCTTTCTCATTATTCCAGAAATTAAGTTTGACTCTCTCCTTTTCCAGATTCTGAAATATTTTTTAATTAGGCAAAGTGATTTCATTGTCTAATAGGTCTGTGTGTGTGTGTGTGCGTGTGCGTGCACGCATGTGTGTGTTTTCACTGAACCCATAGTAACCAAGGTGTCTGCCGAGGATGATGGGTTGGTGCTGAATGTCGATGGAGTAGGTGATCAGGAAGTTATTAAACCTGAAAATGGAGACCATCAAGATAGTACCCTCAAAGAGGATGTTCCAGAACCTGGAAAGGATGCTGTCAAGGAAGTTAAAGCAGAGCAGACTAATGAACCATGTACCAGCTCTAGTTCTGAATCTGCTCTCCAGGTAACATATGAAGTAAGAGCCATAAAAGAAATCAAACTTAAGCAAAATTAATTCTATAAGCTCTGTGGCATTGTATCCTTTGCCTAAAGAAATCCTTTCACAAAATAAAACTATAATAGTTTAAAAAACATACTTCAAAACTTAATTTTATTTCAGACAGCATTTAAGAATCAACGTCTCAACACAGGATCACAGTCTGACTGCAAACTTGAGGAGCTTCAAGCTAAGCATTTTATAAAGAAGGACACTGCCACCTATTGGCCCCTGAACTGGCGTAGCAAGTTATGTACCTGCAAAGACTGTATGGTAAGTATAGGATCAAGTTATATGTTAGTATATTTTAGAGACTTATGCCTAAAATAGAAACATCTGAAAAGTGTATTTATGAAATTAATGATAGAGAACTTAAAAAATGTCTGTATTAAGCAAATTTGTGAAATAGTATTTGCAGTCTGAATGCTTGTGGAAGAAATGAAGAATTATGCATTTTTACTTATCTTCATTGTAGTGGAAAAAAAGTAGTTCTTAGCTTTTTTATATCATAGAATTTTTTGGAAACACAAATTGCCTGAAAGTTACAGTAAGTCAGTGGTTTTAAGTAAAGATTTCTTAGACCAAGGGTCCCTAACCCCTGGGCCACGGATCAGTACTGGTCTGTTAGGAATCAGGCCGCACAGCAGGAGGTGAGTGATAGGCTGGTGAGCGAAGCTTCATCTGTATTTGCAGCCGCTCCCCAGCACTGGCATCACGCCTCAGCTTCACCCCACATCATCGGGCATTAGATTCTATAGGAGCACCGGTCCCTCGTGCCACAAAGTTTGAGGACTGCTGTCTTAGATCATACAACATCTGCTAGGCAGTTGGGATATTTCTAAGAGAGATTTGAGCAAAAAGAATAAATCACTCAGCAGCTCTGCGTTCAAAGGCTCAGGTTTTTCTGAGAGTCAATTTACAAAAATTTTTAGTGATTCTCATGAGGCTTACTTTCTGAGAATGACACAGTTCTAATGGAGAAACTGGTTTTATTTTTTTAAAGAAAATGTATGGCGACCTAGATGTCCTGTTCCTGACAGATGAATATGACACAGTTTTGGCTTATGAAAACAAGGGCAAGGTTGACCAGGCAGCCGACAGGACAGACCCTTTAATGGACACCCTTAACAGCATGAGCAGAGTCCAACAAGTGGAACTTATTTGTGGTGAGTACTGTTCGAATATGGAAATTCGTGATGTTCATAAAGTTTCCTGCACTATTAAAAAAAAGTATATGTATAAGGACAACTGATACCTATTTTGTATTATATGTTTTCATATAATACAAGAAAAAAGTTAAAATTGGAATTGTATAGTAGACCTCAGCTACACTTGCTTAATTGTAATGTTGCTGGATATTCAGTTGCTATCACCACTGAATCGGGGTTACAGACCAGAATAATTACGTGTTTGAGAAACCACAACATGTGCTGTTTTGGTTAAGGGTAGATGTGTGAGTAAAGAATATTAGAGAATCAACTTCTTTTTTCATCCAATGAAAAATAATTTTCATGGAGCATTACATGTCATCTTTTTGATAGTTCTCGAGGTTGCTTCAGTGGTGCGCAGGAAACCACTAGGAGGAAAATATTCCCAAACCTTTAATTGCAGGCTTTTATGTCCTGCCCCTCCACCCTCCACCCCCAGCTTATTTTAGTGATTTTCATCCCAGCCAGTTTCTCTGGGGATGCCACCACCTTTGTGTCCCTTTTTTGGCTTTGATCATTTTTATTATTTGTAACTATTTGATTAACTTCCTTTTGTCTTTATTAGACTAAAAGCTTTTCGAGGATGAAGGCTGCATCTCAGTGATTTTTGTAGTCTTCAAGGATCCTCTTGAAGGATCTGTCAAGTGAATGTACAAGTTTTAAAACTTAATGTTTTACAAGTTCGAAGTTATTTCAAATATTAGAATTCCAGAGAGATAGGAAGTCCTTGAAAAGATTCTTAGCTAATGTTTTTGGGAATGAAAATGGGTTCCAGGTATCAAAATGAAAGAATTTGGGAGAAATTGGGAACAGTCTCTCTGCACATTTCACTTAAAGAAAAATTTAGTTTAAACTAGTAATATACTCATCAGTGATGAAGAAGTATTTTGTTTTTAAAAGCACACCGCTTATCTAAAGTTTAAGTCCTTTTCTCTTGTTTTGATTTAGAATATAATGACTTGAAGACTGAACTTAAAGACTATCTCAAGAGATTTGCTGATGAAGGCACGGTATGTTGAGTTAAAGAATTTTAATCACAGCCTGCATGTTTTGAGCAAACTGTTTATTTTCTTTCTTGAAAAAAATGTGTGTCTCAAACTGGATACTAGAGAGTTTAATGCAGGCAGAGCTAAGGGAAGTCAGTGAGAGGCGGTGAAATAGCGACGGACTAGCTGCAGTGGGAGCCCTGCCCAGCCCTGGGCCGGAAGGAGCGCAGGGACAGCAGTCACACAGGATGTGGAGGGCGTCGCGGTCGCTTAGGAGAAGGCCACTGGGTCAGCCGTACTGATGCTGCCCATCCCGACCTTCAAGCAGGGATCCTAGGTGGAGGAAGGAAAAGTGACCAGGCAGGAAAAAATTAAAGCCAGGCCCCATTTAGGGGATTCTGTGCTCTACAGTTTAGGATAAAAGAACTTTATAATTGGGAGACTAAAACATTTCTCTTGCTAGCAAGAAAAATCTATATACTTTTAAGGAAACACTGACTCTACAATGTATAATGTTTTAAAAGAACCTGCTAGGTGAATTCACAAATACTTCCTAGCCCTTTAGTAGTCATACATTTGTGATTAATTTTTTTCTAAAATACTCTTCTATCAGGGATGTAAAGTACAGCATAGGGAATATAGTCAAAATTTTGTAATAACTATGTATGGTGCCAGGTAGGTACTTGACTAATGGGGGGATCACTTCGTAAGTTATATAAGTGTCTAACCACTATGCTGTACATCTGAAACTAATATAAAATAATACTGAATGACAGCAGTGATTGAAAAAATTTTTAAATATTCAGTATTCAAATAAATACTAAATATGTTACAATATAGAAAAATGTTCATAGTAGAACACTAATTGAAAAAATAAATAAAATACTTTTCTATGTTCCGAAGGCAGACATAAAACAAAATTTACTTTTCTTTTCATGGCCTAAGGTCGTACGTGTGGACAGTAAACGTTTTGTTCTGCTGTAGTCAGATACACAAATCAAGCCAGACGTGGGTCTGACAGATACCCAGAAGTGCCATGAGACTAGCTTTCTTGGCAGAATCCTCTGCCATCCAACTTTAGGTCATTTTCTTCTTTCTCCTAAATGTGAGAAGAACCCGTAGCTGCCTGGGTTTGTGGGCAGGGTCCCAGTGCCACCTTCCCTTAGACGGCCTCCTCATGTTTTAGAGCACGTTCTTCACTGTCACACAAAGGTCGTCCTGCTTCCCAGTAGTTCTTAAACTAGAGCTAGTCCTGTTTCTATCCTCTGGTTGATGCAGGCTCGTGCTTCTCTCTTGCTAGAACTAAGAACAGAACGTTCACAGGTGGAACTATTTTAACTTGTTTGTTGTTAGCAACAGTCATGGTCTTTCACATGTATCAAAGCACGCGCTCTTGACTCTGCCTGTGAGCCTTTGCTCTTGTGCCATTGGTGGTCACAGTGCTTTTTATTAAAATATTTTACACATACTTAAAATCACATAAGAGAAAATAAATATGTTGTCTTTTTGCATTCACATTTGAAACAGTTTTATTCAGTCTTCACATATATCTTTAATATATGGGTCTTCGATATCGCTAGAACTGTTCTTCATGAGAGAATTCTGTAATCTGATGTGATGATTTAAAAAGACAAAATACTATGTTTAGATTATTTGTTCCATGACATTACTAACTGGATCTTTACCAAACAAACAAACAAAAACCTTAAGTTGCCATAAGACTTATCTGCTGTGGTTGTATTTGTCCACGGAAGATAATGCTAATAAGTTCTAGATGTTCTCAGGTGGTGGGCTGCCTCTCTTTAATGTGTGTGTCTGACTATTGAAAAAACACTTAGAAACTACACATTTTTCTGAGATAAACTCATCAAATGAATTATTATTGAACCCAAATATTCTCTAACATTTCTACTCTGCATGTTGGCTGTGACCATTTGGGGACCTCTAGAAACCAAACTTTGCACACTAATAAGTATGCTTTTAGGTGTCCTCCCACCAGAACCTAGTGGGAGAAATGGTTTGCCTTTAGTGTTTAATGTTTGTGATCCAAGGTAATGTTTGTGATTCTCCGTGCTGGAACTCCCAGGTATCTTACTAGCATTTTATAAGTGTACATTTCCAGGCCATTTAGCCAAGTACAGTAGAGCTCTGGGCCGCAGTTTATCTCAGAATATATTAGCCATCTGGATCTTGAATCTGTTAGGGCTCGAATTCCTCACCGGTTGACCAGCAGTTTTACTCTTGGTGCTTGCGAAACTGGCATATCAGCTACTGGTCCGTGGTAGAGTACTGAGAAAATGTTAAGTTCCCTCGTTTAGAGGATTAATAAGTATCTTACCCCAAGAAAGTTCAAGTTCATCTTGCTGTTCACGTATGTCAGCGGCATGTACCCGTGGGGAGTGAGAGGGAGGTCTCCATTTTACTTACCAGTAATTGTCCTCTTTCTCACTTCTCTCTACCTCTCTCTCTCTCTTGCTCACGTGCATTCACTACTTTCTTTTTCTCTTGCTTTCCTCCCTGCCCCACCTTCATTTTTTTTATGACAGTATGCATGTGTTACCTTAATAATTAAAAAGATAAATCAACCAACCTGTCTCTGGTGCTGGCCCTGAGCCCTTTCGAACAGATCAGCTGGCAAGACTCACTCTTGGGTTGAGCAGGACTCCTCCTGGGCCATCTCAGTATACTTTTTATTCATATTTTCCCTTTGTCTTATTTTCTTATTTTTATTATTTCGTTTTGCCCATGCCATAAACAGGTTTGTGTCATGCTCCAATCCTTTTTCCAGTAAAATGGAAGATAAATTTCTCACTGCATAAAATGAGTACTGTTCACTGAGTAGTAGCTTTTGCCCATTATTTTTCTGTTTATATACAAACATCTTTAATTTTGGACCCTCGAAGAGGGAAATGCTTTTTGGTTCCTTTTTTTTTTTTTTCCAGTAAAGACAGCACAGCTCTCAAAACGAAACACTGTTTTTTTGTGGGTGCTTGTGCAGAACTGAAGGACACTCCCAAAGGGCATTTGTGGTCATGACAGAGCGAGTGGGGTCTAGACCGTCGGGTTCTCAGCTTTCGTGCTGGTTCTGCCACCTTTCTCTTCGCTAATATTTATTGAGAACTTACTATATGCCAGTGTTCTGCAGCACGATGTCTCATCCGCCCTTCCAAACATAAGAGGTGCTGCCTTTACCTTTTCGTATGAGGAAGCCGAGGGAGGAGGTGGAACCTGCACGTGACACCATGTGCTGTTCTGCCGAGCTGTGTGACCCTGCACAGGCCCGTCCCTCTGAGCCCGGATGAGCTCTGTATGAAATGCAGATAGTAGAATTAATTAGGCATTAAAGTAATTCTTTTTTTTTTATTCTTATTTTTCAACTAGAGTTGCTATTCAGTATTATTTTATATTAGTTTCAGGTGTACAGCATAGTGGTTAGACGTTCATATAATTTATAAAGTGATTCCCCCAATTAGTCTAGTACCCCCAGCACCATATCTAGTTGTTACAGTATTATTGACTATATTCCTTATGCTGTACTTCACATCCCTGTGCGGTTTCATAACTACCAATTTGTACTTCTTAATAAAGTAATTTTTATCAGGCAGTACCGTTCGATTTGTTTGTGAATGTTACGACTGGGTATTGCTATTCTATAATTCAGTTCTCTTTCCCGATCTTTGCTTTTCGTCAATAGGTTGTTAAGAGAGAGGACATCCAGCAGTTCTTCGAAGAATTTCAGTCAAAAAAGAGAAGAAGAGTGGATGGGATGCAGTATTATTGCAGCTAGAGTGGAGTATGGCGCCTTCTCATCCAGGCCAGTGAAAATGCCACTTCCTGTTCCAGGAATAAAAGAGGCCTGTTTCACCTTCGGTCCTCTTCGTGACCTCTCTCTGGAGAGGCCTCCTCCGCTGGCCTTGGGCTTCCTCACTCTCCTTAACTGCAGTAGCCACAATGTTTATGCTGATTTCACAACCAGCATTCTTCTTTCTGGCTCGGCTAAAAGCAACTCATTCCACAGACTTCAGCCCCTACCCCGCCTCCCGTCCACCCAGGGTTATTTGCTTATAAGTTTTAGGAAGTTTGATTTGGTTTTGAGCAAGTAAACTAGTTTCTTTTCTAATGATTTGTTCTTTAACTCCCAAATGTGTCTACTCTGCCACAGAGCTGTTGTCTTCCAGGACCTGCTTTGGGGCATCACAGACATTCTCCTCCTGTCAGCTAGACCCTCTCTAGGTCCCCTCACCCCTATGATCGTGGTGCCTTGGGTCAAAGCTTCCTCAGGCCTGGGCTGCTTCTCCCACCTCCCTGCTTTCTGAGGTTCGGTCACGACACAGAGTTGATCTCGGAACACGTTTCCTCTGGGCCCAACCTCTGGCCTAGCTGGGACAGATGGCTTTCTGTCCCGGCTGTCTGTTACAGGCAGGGAGATCGGCTGACGGCAGGGCTGAGGGAGCCAGCCTTTGTTAGGGATTCTGCTAATAAATTTCAAGTGGAAATGTCATTCACAATTCTACTGGTACTGGAATATGAGGATTTCAGTGCTGTAGTGCTCACAGGGCTTCCTGGAGAAAACGCCAGCATTCTGGCCCCCCTTCTGCTGCCTAGAAATAGACCGGCTACTACCCTGTGAAATCTCGGTGGTTTACAGAGTCCTCTGGGTTCCTTTCTATTATCAGGGATATTCATAAGCATATATTAAAAACGAAACTATTTTGATATTGTTCTGTTATGAAAATGTTATTAGAACCCCAATAAATTATTATTTTTCCCCCTTAAATTGTGCTGAAGAAAAAAAGACACTGGCTTAGCTTCCTTGTAGTGAGCAGGGCAGCGAGTGCCCGTTCCGAAGAGGCTGTGTGGAAGAGCGTGCAGACGAGGCCCCGGGCCGCGCGAATGATGAGCTGCGTGTACATAAGCGTCAGTGCCCCTAGCTGGTTCCCTAGTAACTACGAGATCTTTCGAAGAACCTCATGGAATGTTGCAAAAACCCCATACTTGAGGGGAAGTCCTTTCAGTTGGTTTGAAATCTCCTTAAAGCCCCTCAGTCTGTGTGGAAACCACCTTTTGATAAACAGAGCCCTCAGTTGCTCTCTCTCTGGAGGAACAAGGCCTTGCCTGACAACAGATGACACACTTTGAGGTATGTGACTGCAAGCATTTGAGGCTTCGGGGCCACGAGTGTACATCAATATTCCTTGGTGTGTTCAGCAATCAGTGAGTGCCCACCGACCCCCGGGCAAGGCGAACTGGGCCCACAGAAAGTCAAGGCCTCAAAGACATGGTCCATCCTGTTTTTCTGTATCACACCTAATTACAGATCCTCGCGAAGAGTGACATGTGGACCCGGAAGGTCTCATGGCCACAGGAGATTGCTGTGTGCCCTGCGCTGGCCTCGTGGATAAAGAGTCAGCAGGCGAGGCTGGAAAGCTCAGGGCGGCTTTGGGGTCGTCCACAGTAACTCTCCCAAGTCAGGACTCCCGCACTCCGTCCCCAAGCTCACGCGAGCAGTGTGCCGCTGCGGCCTCAGATGTTTGTTTAACTACCAGAAAATTCCTTACTTAGGACAGGTCAGGACCACGTCTGAGAGCTGACGCATTACTGTGCAGCACAGAACAAGTCACCCAGTGCTGAAGGGCTGTTTATGAAAGGTACTGTTCCTTCTTTTACATTAACCAGAAAACCTCTTTTTTACTTACTGTTCACAGCTGGTTTTCTTATTGACTGTATCGGACCGTCTCTTCTTGTAGAGACTGATTTTGGCCAACATGTGGCAGTTAATACTAATGCATGTTTTATGCAAAAGAATATGATATTAGTTGCTTTTAAGGAATTTTGGCATTGTACGTGCATTTTTGTAGAATTGTTACTGGACTTATAATTACATACTAAACTCTAATCAGGTTTATGTAAAATTAAATAAAACCAATTCAAAAATAGTGGCTTTTCAGATTGTTTTTTCTCATTTAAATGTACACGGCCTCCCTTTGCAGGTTTTAAGAAAATGAGTATAGCATGAGTGTGCTCCAACAGCTCGCCTGCCCAGGGGGACTGGTTCATTTCTCCTGTTTCCACACGAGATGTGGTCTGAGGTATCGCCAGCAGAGCCACCTCATCCCCCTGCTTTATAACACCTCCTGGAGGGAGGTTCCACAGTCCCCGCTGGGACCTAGATGACCAGTTGAACAAAGAAATGGGCTTGGGCTGTGAGCGATCACGGTTTGCTGAGGTGCTGCTGTGTGAGGCGAGGGGGCCAGGAACTCAGTCTAAGGAAAAGATGAGGTCCATCCACCCCGCATGGTGGCCGTTCCTTCAAAAGTAAATGTGAAAACACACCAAGAAGCCTATGCAGAGCCCATCTTTGGCTTCCCCCCAGCTCTTGCTTCCTTGGAAATTCCCCAGACTTGTGGTCCTCACCCATGTGAGTTAAGCTCAGATGAGTGAAATGCTCTTTATGGCCCTGGAGGTGCTCACACATCTGAAAAGTCAGGATTATATGATCATCAATGACAGGAAAGCTGCACTTCTCCCCGCGCCCCTAAAGGCCCCTCGTGGGGCAGAGGACAATTGAGAGCCATCCAAGTGTCTGTCGGGTCTTGGCAGTGGCTCTGCCTGGAAGATGAATGTGCTCTGGGGAAAGGCGGAGGTACAGGAGACCCACCCAGCAGAGCTCCCAGGAGCCGCCGAGGCTGCTTCCCAGTCAGGTCACCTTGAAGCGGCTGCCAGACCCAAGTCTTGCTCTGAGGGGGCATCTGGCATTTGGCACTGGGCCAAAGCCCTACTGGTACCTCATCCGTCTCCCTGAACTACTGCACATTAGATAGGTGTGTGTTCCATACTTAAGTCACAGGATCCCTAGGGACCTGAGAAGTCACCCAGCCTCACTTCCTCCCAGGAGCCCCGCTCTCACAGATAATCTTCACAGGGGACCTGTGCTGGTGTTGGCCATGTGGCTTTCCTGGCCCTGTGATCTTGGTGACAGTGCCCCAACTTTTAGTTGGCTAACTGCCCCTCCACTTCCCTGCCCTGTGATTTGAGGGGCACTGGCCACACGACTCTTCCAGACAAGGACATAAATCTTGTGAGCACAGGGACCCAGGCTCACGAGGAAGCCAACACCCTGGCAGGCAGAGAGGAAGGAAAGAAGCCAGGGCTTTGGTGATTCAGGCGTTGAGCCATTGGATTAAGCCTTGCCTGAAGCTTGTGCAATGAGCACATTCCTGTAGCGGATAACACCTCTGTGCTCTAGCTTCCGTTTCTGAATACTTCTAGTGACAGTGCTCACTCCCTCACACGACACTCATCCATTATTCTTCCAGTCTTGGTATCTCTTCCTGTGAAAAAAGGCGAGACACTTCTTATGGAGTTCCATGGGCCCCCCATCCAAGTCTGTGCTCTGGTCTCCCAATGAGGAAAGGGGGCTCCTCACGGTGCTCCCCAGCACCTACTCAGCAGCTCTGCCTTCCTCCCTCACCTGGACACTCCCGCTTGGGCTTCTCCTCCACCATCTTTTTATATATTTATATATAAAATAAGGAATTGGCTCACAGGATTATGTAGGCTGAGAAGTCCCCCGATCTGCCATCTGCAAACTGGACACCCAGGGAAGGTGGTGTACTTCCAGTCCAAGCCAAAAGGCCCCAAGAGCCAGAGGAGCAGATGACAGTCTCAGTTCCAGAGCCGAAGACCAGTGTTCCAGTCCAAACAGTCAAGCAGAGAGAATCCTCCCTTCTTGCTCCTTTTTGTTCTATTCAGGCTGTCACAGATTGGATGAGGCCCACCACACTGGGGAGGGCTGTCTGCTTTACTTAGTCTACAGATACAAATGCTAATCTCATCCAGAAACACTGTCATAGACACACCCCGAACAATGTTTAGCGAGATATCTGGGCATCCTATGGCCTAGTCAACTTGACACACAAAATTAACCATCACGACAATCTATTTATTTGGTAGATCCTGGGCCCGCTAAACCTGGGATGAACAGTGACTTGTGCTCTGCCTATTAATGCATTCTCTCTCTTGCCCTAGGTGCAACTCAGACTGTTCTCGTTGCAAGAGGCCAGCTGAAGGACACGGCAGTGGAGTGACCACGTCAGAGTCACAGCACTTCCCATGAAGGAAGGGGTGTCTCGGCTCCATCAGGAAAGCTCACCTGGGTTAGCAGGCATGGAGCATAAATAAAATGGGGCAGCAGCTGGGGATAAAAAAGAACTGCTTTAGAATGCCAGGAGCACCTACTCCACAGTTTATTCACAAAGCTGCAGAGTCAAGTCAGTAATTTCATTCCCCAGATTCTCTTTATATGCTGCTGAGGCTCTTCTCTCTTTCCTGCCGGGCACCCTCACCTCGCTCAATGACCTCTTAACCATGGATGAAAAGACCTGCGACATTGTGGTGAGGTTAATATTCTAATTGCTATTTCACTGTGTAATAGCACATATTAATATTGGTGAGCTTATTTGCTTAATATCCGTCCTCTCTAAAATCATAAATTCTGTGAGGCCATGGACTGACTGTCTTTCCAGCTCAGCATCGAAGTGCCGGATGCAGTGGCTGCCACGCGATGGGCACTCCGTTGGTTAATGCATGAATAGCCGTGATCATTCATGCCGAGCGCAGCCACAGGCTGGAAACTGCTGCGGATGTATTTCATCTCACCCACCCACTCGAAGAATATTATTGTCCACCCCCATTTTACAGATGTGGAAACTGAGGCTCCGAGAAGCTGAGGTTCCGCTAGTCTTTGGTGACTCTGGGTGTTAAATGCACATCTGCTGGATCCCAGGCCCTGCTCATTTTGTTCCACCAGCCCGGCCTCACTGAAATGGGGCACCAGGGAGCCGCTGAGGCTCTCGGGGCAGAAATGACAGAAGATGCTGATAGTTTTTGTCTAAATCACAGGATATCATGTTTTGCCCCAGGCTGAGAGGGACATTGAATTCACTCTTTTCTTAGATTTGTTTTGGTAAATTAGCTTAGACATACATGACGGAACTGGACTCTCTTCCAGCATCTAAAGCAATCTGGGGAGGGGTTTCTAAACCTTCCAAGAAACACGAATCCAGCTCAGCCTCCCCAAGCGAGGCTGGGAATGGAGAAACCATTAAACTCATGGTCCTTCCCCTGGGTCTACACCTCCTGCCCTCTCCCCACACCCAATCACCAAGTCCTGTAGAAATGACACCCTCATCATATTCACAATCGGTTCTTGGTTCTCTGTGGGCGATTCGGGCTCCTCTGGCCGGCTGCCAGCCTCCTGCCTGGTTCCCAATTCACCCCTGCTCCTCTTCAATCCATGACACAGACCATGGAAATCCGATTCCCTTTTGCTCCTGCTTAAAACTGCGTAGCCACTTCCTGTTGCTATTAGGATCAACTTCGAGATCCTCAGCCCGTCCTATCAGGGCTGGCAAGGCAGGCCCAACCCACCTCTGGCCCCGAAGAGCTTTCCCCCCAGCGCTCTGCCTGCCTGCGGCTCCGCCTCTTCCTGGGAGCCCTTCCCAGAATCCCTCACCCCCTTGCCCTGTGGTCCTGACTTCCTTCACTTGTGTTTAGGTCGCTTCCCCATGGTGGTCTTCCCAGCCCTGGGACCAGTTAGACGCCCCCAGCCTTACCTCTGTAATTAATTCAATGTCTTTTCTTTCTTGAAACCCAAAAATTGTTATGGGGAAGACTATGCCTGTCTTGTTCATTACTGTTACCTCAGGACCTAGCAGTGTCTGGCAGGTAGAAGTTGCTGACTTACTTGATGAACGAATGTTTGCTGAATGAATGAGTGCCACACTTGCACCTCCCCATCCCCCACACACAGTGTCCCTCCTGCCCAGGCCACCACACTTCCTGGTGCACAGGACGCCACCATGGTTGAGAACTTGGGCTCTGGAGCCAGACTGCCTGGGTTTAGGCCCAGGCTCTGCTAACTTATTAGCTATGTGACCCTGGACAAGTGACTCGGTATCTGTGCTTTGGTTTCCACTCTTGTAAAATGGCACTAAAAACAGTATGTCACAGATTAAATAGTGCCTAATTCATTGATTAAAAAAAAAAAAAGTGCTCAGCGGCGAAAGCAGCATACCTCTCCTCCCACTCATTCCCCGACCATGGCAAGCCAGCCTTCCCCTCAGCCACGATGACCTCCTACTGCTATGTACTAATCTCATTGTTTCTAGGACAAAAGTCATTTCCAGCTATAGTTTATATTTCTGAGAATAGGTATCCTGTCTGCTGCTCCGTACTCCCAGACTCTGGGAAGAGTGGCCTCAAACATTTCTTAATGCACTGAGGAGAAACAAGGCCCGAAGTGGCTAGGGAAGCCAGCTGGAGTTCACTTCTCCAGGGGGAATCCACGAGTAAAGACGTGAGCGCTGACTTACTCAGTTTCCTTTTTCAGATTTTTAAGCTCACTCACAAAAACCTTAGTTAAACCTATAGTTAAACCTAAGATGGTTACAAAATATACAGAATTGCCTTAGAGAGAGGCATGAAGGGTGAAATGCTAGAACTTATCCGTGAAACGATTAAAATAAAAAATTTAAATAGCTATTTTATAGCTATTAAAAATGGAAATTGGAGACTATTTTGTATGTTTTTTCAGAAACCTAGACTCTAGATCACAACCATTTTCCTTTAAAACTGAAAAGTATTAATACGCCTGAGTTAAAGGAGAAAAAAAAGCTCTGATACCTGTAAGCTTGTGGATCTTGGGGTACACCTGGGTCTCCAGCTGACAACAGTGCTTGGCATATTCCGGTGGCTGGGTCCATGTGGGTAAAATGGTGTCTTAACCTGGAGACCCCTGGGCAAGTAACATTTTGCTCACATTTGACAAATGAAAACGTATTTCCAAGAAAACCACAATAACAACAACAAAAAAGGCCCGAATAACTGAAATCCTAGAAACAAGAGGGGAAGTTCCCACAGAAAAGCTCCTGGTTCC